GGTGATTTTTGTTTTTCTCTCTCTCTGTCTCTCTCTGTCTGTCTGGCGAGCACACGCCCCCTAAAACAAAAACCTCTTCAAAAAAAAAAAAAAAAAAGAATGTGCTGGGTCCTCGGCCCAGCCAGGTGGCGTGATCAGTAGCACACCGAACTGCAGTGCTGGAAGCCACCCAGCCAACTGACCACAGGTTCCAATTGCTGGGTTGACCTGAAGCAGAGTGGACAGGTGTGCATGTGCCTAAGACTAAGGAACTGGGGGTTAGGGGAAGGGGATCATTGTAACAAGACCCTCCCGATGGTGCTTCTCCCTTTTTCTCTTTCTTGTGCCTGTGCACCTGCCCATGAATAAAATAAAATAAACTTAAGAATATAGAGACAATGATGTTCTATACTAATATACACTATTATTATCAAGTATTGTGTGCTCAGGGAAGCGACCGTATCAAGTTTAATGCACCACTAACAGCAAATATTTATCAAAAGCATTGGGAAAAAATTATTTTTCTGGGGTCAGCAGGTGGCATAGTGGTTAAGCACTGGACTCCCACATGGCCGACCATGGTTTGAGTCCCAGGTCTGGTAGCTTGAAAATCACGTGGGGCACATATGCTTGCATGCACAAAATCCCAAGAAGAGGATGAAAGAGAAGGGATTGGAGGGTAGTGGTCCCCTCTGAGGGGTGACTTCTTACTTTCCCTCTCTTAGTCTCTCTCTGTCTTTCCCCAGTGAGTACATGGTCCCTATGGCAAAAACCTTTAAAAAAAGATTTTTCCAATCTTTTTGAGAAAGTGTTAATGTAATATAGATATTACTTTCAATATGTAGGGATTCTAACATCTGTGTATCATTTCTTCCTGTAGCTAATAAGAGACATGGTTAATGTCTGTGAAACTAATTTGTCTAAACCCAACCCACCATCTCTTGCCAAATACCGAGCTTTGAGATGCAAAATTGAGCATGTTGAACAGAATACCGAAGAATTTTTCAGGGTTAGAAAAGAGATTTTGCAGAATAATCGCAGGTAAGTGTAAATGACCTATCTTAGGGTCTGTTATGATGTTATACTCTTTGAAATTCTGTTAAAGAGCTAGCTAATCATTATAATTAGCTAGGTAATTTAATCCTCAGTAACAAGGTAGTTTTGCTGTGGTGACAAATTATATCCTTGCTTGGGTGTTTCTTCTCTGCTTGAAAACACTCCCTATTCCTCCTCCATGATTCCAAGGTCATCTAATCTTACTGAGAATTATATTTTTATTTATTTATTTTTGGAGAGGTTTTTGCTATAGGGCATGTGTGCTTGCCAGACAGACAGAGAGAGACAGAGAGACAGAAAGTGAGAAATCACCCCCGAGGGGGAATGGCCACGCTGCCATTCCTTCTCCATTCTCCTCTCGGGATCTTGGGCCTGCACGCACACGCACCCGGCGTGCGTTTTAAGCCACCAGGTCTGGGGCGCGAACCGCGGTCGACTACATGGGAGTCCAGCGACATAGCCATTACGCTAACTGCTGGTCTCAGAATTAAATTTTTAAAAATTTAAATCAACAGGTTTTTGAGTTTGTGTTTTGGAAGGATATTCTAGAGGAAAATCCTCTTAAATTAATATTTAAACCTGCAAGAATATATATGTTGCAGGTGCTAATGTGGCTGGGCTGGATATGTGCTTTTGCTGTGTGCTCTGTGTGCGCTCTGACTGTGTAAGCCAGTGGTCTGGAGCTGATGTGTATTCTACAATAACAATGAACAGGAGGTAGCTGCTGCCTGACAAGCCCTTACAAGGTGTCAGTATTGCGAGGCTCACCTTGGCTAAGAGTCTGTGCCCAATTTCAAGGTTCAGAAACTCACTTGATTGCTTGTTCTGGGGGGGAGGGGGGGACTGACTCTCCCGACCTGGTCGTTCATTCCTCTGCAGTGCTCCCGTACCTAGAGGCTCCCTCCCGTCCCGCGTCTCTTTATCATGGCCCAGGTTTCACCTTTATCAGCCTCATACACTCCTTGTGTTGTAACCACATGTACCCGCTTACAAGAGCCAATTGTCAATTTTTGTTTTTGATTACTTAATTTTATTTTTTTTAAGACAGGGTCTCCCGGGAACCAGCAGTTAGCGTAATGGCTATGTCGCTGGACTCCCACGTAGTCGACCGCGGTTCGCGTCTCGGACCCGGTGGCT